ATATGCGTAAAAATCTGCATAGGGTATGGCTTATTACAGCTTACGTGTTCATACACATGATTCCTGGACAGGTCGGTACCGCGTGTCAGTCATAAATCGCCAAAAAGCGAGTAATATAACTTAGTTGATCAATCGGAAACGTTACGGCGTTAAAGCCGACCTCGCTTTCTTTGACGGCGCGTCCCGATTCCCGGCCACTTCGGGGGTCCGCCGGGCTCGGGCCGGGCCTTTCGAACACAAAAACCTCACCTCTAGCTCGCACCGCGCGGTGAGATACTACGTAAGCGCAAGCTTGTACGATAATCGCGTCATACTCCCCGACGTCGCAGCCGAAAGACGGGGACGGGCGGTGGCGGACGTGGGCCAGATCGCGACAGACCACGAGGCGGCACACCAGCACCAGACGCGACCCACACAGGTACGGGGTACTGGGGTAGGCACGGGGCACATGCAGTTTACACGCTTTGTTGGAAGCGCTGGAAATTCAGGGGAAATTGGCACACCGTTTGCAAGCTGAACGATCAGCGGTTGAAGAAGTGCGCCTCGTTTTGAAAAACAAAACAAAATGGTCTCCTGAATGCAAAGTCTGAATTTTTGGTTGTTTTTTCCACAAATTTTGATGCGTGTTTCATTGGCCGCCGTAGGGAAAACATGGCATCCGTAGCTCATTGCTTCATCTGCAACGTATGCATTTGCTCCTCTCTCGTACTTTGCTGCATTTAGTCTCTCACCAAGCCCGATGCACTGTGTGCCAGGTACCATTGTCGGAGAATGTGCGCATCATTGACCAATCGCAGAGGGCTATTCCCGTGCGCTTCGGCTACGAGCCAATGGGGGAGGCAACCAAGTGCAGGCGTCTAACAATGAAGATTAAAAGATGCTGCACACTTTCTGACACGCTTTGCATTTCGAACACCATTGGTAGAGCCTAAAAAGAGTGCTGTGAGGAAATTTTGAGCAAAATGAACACATGTCACCGAAATATTTTGGTAACACCATGGCTTGAATACGTAATGGAGTACGGGACAACCCAACAGCACATGAAAGTTTTTTTTTTTATAAAATGAGCCTTGGACAGCCTTTTCCCACTTTAAAACTCATTTCGTTTCCTAGTTCGGTGTCTGACATTCACGCACTTACGGACTTCATCCCTGACAACTGTCCCTTAATTAGGCTGGAATCACTTGAAATTAATCATTCAGCAATTACTCGAAGACACGCGTCACTCTCAGACTCGGAAGCGGACATCCAATCTAAAGCGGACGGATCGTTAAAGCCCGGCGCATAGGTGGAAGCCATTCAATTAAAAGCCCTGCAAAGGAGACCAGTGACGAAAATCGTTGGCGCTCGATCGCACCCGGCGGAAATGGAATACGCCAATTTCAAATAGCACTTAACTTTGGAAAGAATCGTAGGCATTCACGGATGTCAAAACATAATGATGAATTTGGTGACGTCACTGTCGTCGAGCAAGCTCAGTGGAATGCGCGTTCTTCATGTCGGTTATGTCTGCCAACCGCTTCTAACGCATCAGAGGAGGTGGTGCAGCGCAGACCGGCACGGAGCATGCTCCAGGTGCCGGGCACGCTGAAGCGACTACAAAAGCTGAAGCTTGTACGCAGGCACCTGCGAACGACAAAGCGACATGCACTTATGCGCTCAGCCGCACCATCCAAGTGGAGCAGAGTAGTCCACCTGACGCCTAAGATCTATGCTCTCTAGAATCACCTGCTGCGGTAGGCAAGTGTTGCATAACCTCGTCGTGAAACGAGGCACGACAAAAACACACAGCACGTGACATCCGAGATGAGACACGGCACGAGCATTGCGCGTCACGCTCTGCACAAACATGCCTCTTTGAACCAAAGCCAGCTGCGCAACACGTTGGCCAGAAGCGTGTGCAATCTGCGGATCTGGGCGAGTCTCTGCCTCGGGACTTTACCCAACAGTCCTGGGTAGGCCAATGGCTTGGGACTTCACCCGTGACAGCAGTCAGCTAGGGCATTTCAACGGACAGCCAGCAGGGGAGTCTGGATCAACACACAGCCTGACACAACTGTCGCCCGCACACAGCCGCGGTCGGTGCCCACAACCCCACGACCCCCACAGTTGCGGCAGACAGGTGGCAGAAGCACTCGCTGAAGCACCGCCCGCGCCACAGGCCGTCGTAGCGGTTACCGCCGTCCGCCAGGCTGCTGGGGTGGATGTGCAAACACGCAGTAAGCGCCGTGGTCACAAAACGCCGGAGAAACCGTGGGGGGGGGGGGGGGGTATCTCAACAGAACAGTTTTGCGGTGCACGCGGGAACCCCTCCCGAACGACGCCACAACGGCCGCTGGAGGGGGAAGCGATGGGGGCAGGAAAACGGCCTGACGGGGATGACCGGACGGTGCGGCGATGATCTCGCTCGAGGAAAAAAGCCGATGCAACATCTCTGTGCCGGACGGGAGACGACACTGATGTAGCCAACAAACGACCCACAAAGGACGTCAAAGTGATGTGAAACGCAACAGCTGGCACATTACAATATTGGGCAGCACATAACGCATTTCGAAGGGAGCCTTGTCGCACCGCCTCGGGAGCCAGCTTATCGCAAATCAAACAAACCCGCCAACCACTCTTACATGATCGTATATGTGCCACGTATATGATCTTACAGCAATCATATACCTAAAACCTCGTACGAGTGCCACGTATATGATCTTACAGCAATCATATACGTGGCACTCGTTAAGTAAGTTGTTGAAACTTTGAAACGCAATCTAGGTCGGTCGGCCTTCTCACTGCCTGTATGTTCATCTGGTAGGCGAACTTGTAACGCATGCATGCCGGGTTTTAAAAGTAAACGTCTCACGCCTGGTGTTGTGTGTTGTACAACGTGTTTGATAAGTGAGAGAATGGTCGACCGTATCGTATGTTGGCAAATCAAAAAATACCTATTCGGCTACGAGGTTTAACGAGCCTGTCGCTGACGACAAAAATCCTGAGATTTCCGTCGTCAGCAGTTTCTTTCCGCCCACCAAAACTGTGAGATTCGCGCAATGAGGACCCCTTGGCTATTACAGTTTTGCAAAAAAACCAAAGACCATCCCCATCGCAAAATATGTGAATCGATCCAAATCCGCAAACTGTAACCCCTACTGAATAGAAACATCTCATCCTGGAGAATAATGTAGTCCTTATGGGTACAAACCTAGTGTATTTTATCACCGGTGATATCTTGTTATTTGCTCAGTCAAAGTGTGGGAAATGTGTGCCATTTGATCACATGCGTGCTGGGGAAAAAACGCTGTCAACACTGGGCAGCAGCTGGTATTCGCTTTATATTGGAGTTTTTCTGTTCCATGAGGAGGGTCCCTGACACTAAATGCATTAAAAGTACAACTTACTTAACGAATATCGCGTATACAATTATTGTAAGGTCACTTCCATTAAATCCAAAACGGCCAATCGGTACTGAAATCCAACATCGCAAAACCAACATTCCCCGTTTGAGCACCACCCCGCAAGGTCAAAAGCCATCAGCGTCGGTCAGCGTTGCGCGCCGGCGGGGCGCTGACCCGCTCGACAGCCGCAGCCACTCCGGGCCGCCACTCGGCGCGCGGCCGCGCCGCGTTGCAGGAGCCGCCGACCCATTAGCAGGCGCGGCCGCGGATCCAACGCCGCGCGTATTAATACAGCGGCCGATGAAAAACGACGCATTCATGCTATTGGGTGCCGCTGACGGGGTCGTTACCACGTGATAGATTGTACGGCAAATGAGGTATGGTAAGGCACGGCGTGCGGCGGGCTGGCCCGCGCCAGCCGCGCCCCCGTCGCGCCCACATGTGTGGCTTTCTCCCCGCGTCCATCGCTGGCCTCACACCCCTCGCGCGACCTCGGGTCGCAGCCAATTTCTGTCCACCGTAACGAGCGGCCCTTTGATACGAACGCTTAACCGGTTAGTGGCGGCCAGCGGCAAATATACCCTCGATCCGTGGTCGGAACTGGACACTCTCTTCCTTTCTTCCGCCAGGTCGGCGGGTCCACCTCTCCTCAGGTCAGCAGACGTGCCTCCCCCGCAGGCCAGCGATGGATGTCCCCAGCTCCGAAGTCAGCAGCGAACGTTCCACCATCTCCCCAGGCCGATGATGGACGTCCCTTCCTCTCCCCAGGTCAGCAGCGGACATCTCCCCTTCCCCAGGTCGGCAGCGGACCTCCTGCCCTCTCGCCAGGTCAGCGGCGGACGTGTCCCCCTCCCCAGGTCAGCAGAAGACCTCCTGCCCTCTCGCCAGGTCAGCAGTGGACATCTCCCCCTCCCCAGGTCAGCAGCAGACCTCCTGCCCTCTCGCCAGGTCAGCGGTGGACGTCTCCCCCTCCCCAGGTCGGCAGCGGACCTCCTGCCCTCTCGCCAGGTCAGCGGCAGACGTGTCCCCCTCCCCAGGTCAGCAGCAGACCTCCTGCCCTCTCGCCAGATCAGCAGCGGACATCTCCCCTCCCCAGGTCAGCAGCAGACCTCCTGCCCTCTCGCCAGGTCAGCGGTGGACGTCTCCCCCTCCCCAGGTCGGCAGCAGACCTCCTGCCCTCTCGCCAGGTCAGCAGCGGACATCTCCCCCTCCCCAGGTCAGCAGCGGACCCCCTGCCCTCTCCCCAGGTCGGCAGCAGACCTCCTGCCCTCTCGCCAGGTCAGCGGTGGACGTCTCCCCCTCCCCAGGTCAGCAGCGGACCCCTGCCCTCTCGCCAGGTCAGCGGCGGACGTGTCCTCTGTCGGAGCCGTGCCCGCGCCCGGGAGCGGACCTCGTCATCGATCCCGCCCGTCCGCCGTCATCGGACGATATTCATTCGGCCGCGGCTCAATATGCATACCGGCGCCGGCCTTGACGTGGCCGCGTGACCCACAGCGCGGCGGACCGCGCCCCAGGCGCCCGGCGCGCCGCGTCCTCCCGGAACGCACCGTCGCACCAGCCGCGTGACCCACGCCAGCGAGACCCGGCGCGCACCGCCGCTCCGCAGCGGCAGCGATGCTCGTCGCCCTGTGCGTGGTGGCGCTGGCGGCGGCGCTGCGGCCGGCCGCGACGCACGACCGTCCCGTCATCGGCGTGCTCGCTCAGGAGACGACGCCCGACCTGGACGCGCTCTTCCCCGAGTACAACTACTCGAGCTACATCACCGCCTCCTACGTGAAGTTCGTGGAGGCGGCGGGCGCACGCGCGGCGCCCGTCTTCATCCGGCAGCCGGCCGCCTACTACGAGCGCATGTTTCGGCGGCTGAACGGCCTGGTGCTGCCGGGCGGCGACAGCGGCCTGGGCTCGAACGGCTTCGGCGCGGCCGCGCGTGCCTTCTGGGACCTGGCGCACGCTCACCCCGACAACTACTTCCCCATCTGGGGCACGTGCCAGGGTCACGAGGAGCTGGCGTTCCTAGCCGGCGGCGCCGGCGTCATCGCCGCCTGCAACGCCTCCAACCAGGCGGTGACGGTGCAGTGGGACGTCGACGAGGTGGCTCAGAGCCGGTTGTTCGGCAACGCTAGCCGACAGACGCTCGACTTGTTCTCGGCCGAGCCGAACGTCATCATGTTCCACTACAACTGCGTCATGCCCGACAGCTTCGCGCGCGACGCGGCCGAGTTCCGCGTGCTCGGCAGCAGCCGCGACCGGCGCGACGTGAGCTACGTTTCCGTGCTCGAGCACCGCAGCCTGCCCATGTACGGTGTGCAGTTCCACCCGGAGAAGGCGGCGTTCGAGTGGTCACTGCTGCCGCGCGTCGACCAGATTCCGCACTCGGCGCACGCCGTCCTCGCCGAGCAGTACTTGGCCAACTTCCTCGCCGCCGAGGCGCGGCGCAGCAACAACCGCTTCGCGGACACGCGAGAGGAGCAGGAGGCGCTTATCTACAACTACCCACCCTTCCACACGGCGGCGCGCGGCTCATCCTTCGAACAGTGCTACTTCTTCTGATCCAGTGCAGATATGCTGCTCGTGGCTGATGGATCTAGATGTAGCACTACTGACTGACGTCAATTGACGGGGACGCGTTGACGCGTTTGCACTGCAGGCTCCACGAACGCTGGAGGGCTTGCGTCCAGCGGAGCGTGCCGCTCCTGTTACGCCACGCACGCACGGGCAATGCGCACACCAATTGCGGCGCATCGCCACCGACGACCTGTGATCGTGGTGACCTTTCGAGAGCACGCGACACACCGCAATAAATCAGCAGTCTGAAAGTGGCGACCACTTCTCTGTAGTCTTAACAGGTTCCACGACATGAGAACCAGAATGTCGCAACACAGCTCGAGCAGTAAAGACGCGTAACTACGCTGCTGGCTGGTCCAGCTTCAGTCTTTTCGTCGTGCGACTCACCCGGAGGCGAGACAATGCAATCGCCGAAAACTGGGATCGCCGCCAAGGTCGTAGACCACGGCCAAGGTTCCTGCAATATGCAAATTCTATCGCCCCCAATCCTCACTCTGTTCCGTGTGAGCGTCGCGGACGACGCCGGCCGCACGGCGCGCGCCAAGATCGTCCCGCGGCAGGGCGGGGGGGGGGGCGAGGGGGACAGGCGGCACGACGTCAGCGGCGATGACGGCGCAGCGGGATGGACGGACGTGATGCCATTACCTCCGGCGAGCTACATAATGCCCGTCGAGACGCAGCCCAGTTGGCCGACGCAATTCGGCCGCGGGCGAAGCCAATGTCGTGGCACCGGTGGGGCGCGGCGCACGCTAGACCCGACACGGCGCCGCGATCGGCCGCGGGGCGCCACACAGCGACACATCTAACACGCGGGACGGTAGGAGCCAACGGCGGCGCGACAGCCACGCTGAGAGAAGCGATGGCGCTACCACTGGAACTGGGCGACAAGACTGCCTGTCCGCCCACTTCATCCACCGTTGCGTTCTTGTCAAATGGCCGAAGTTAGCACGAGTTTTTTCGCGAGTGCGTCCGAGTTTTGGGCTTTTTTTGTTCAAACTTTGTTGCGGTTCTCTCCACCGGCGTCCGCCACGATCGTGGACGGCGCCGGCAGAGCCACGCTGCCGTCGCCGACCGCAGCCGTGTTCGGTCACCCCGGCGTCTCCACGAAACAAGGATCATGATGTGGGCGGCCGCCAGCGGACGAAGCGTCGTAACCTGACCGGCCGGTGGAGGGGAACGGACCCAAACAGCCTGACCTGACCCGGACCTGGACAACCGCCGAGGGACAGATCTGGACAGCCGCCGAAGGACCGATCGCGACCTGGACAGACGCCAAGGGGCGGATCGTGACATGAACAGCCGCTGAGGGGTGGATCGTGTCCTGGACAGCCAGTGAGGGGCGGATCGTGACCTGGACAGCCGCCGAGGGAGCGATCGTGACCTGGACAGCCGCTGAGGGACGGATCGTTATCTGGACAGCCGCTGAGGGCGGATCATGACCTGGACAGCCGCCGAGGGAGCGATCGTGACCTGGACAGCCGCCAAGGGGCGGATCGTGACCTGGACACCCGCCGAGGGACGGATCGTGACCTGGACAGCCGCTGAGGGGCGGATCGTGACCTGGACAGCCGCTGAGGGACGGATCGTGATCTGGACAGCCGCTCATCATCACCTAACCTCATCGTTAGGGTGGACGAGAACGTTCACTCAAGTAGCTAGGCCCGATTTTAAAAGCCTTGATTTTTTCGCGGCGGGTCACGCCGGGCGTACATTCCAGCGCCGGTCGACGCAGGGCGCGCCTGGCCGGAGGTCATGACGAGCCGCGGCCCACCCGCCGCCTGTCGAGCTGCGCCGCTGGTCCGGTCCGATCCGGTCCGGTCCGGTCTGGTCTGGCTCTGTCTGGTCCGGTCCGGGTCAGGTCTGTTCCGGTCTGGTCCAGTCTGGTCTGGTCTGGCCTGGTCCGGTCTGGTCTGGTTCGGTCTGGTCCGGTCTGGGTCCAGTCCGGTCCGGTCCGGTCCGATCCAGTCCGATCTGGTTTGGTCTGGTCTGGTCTGGTCTGGTCTGGTTTGGTCCGGTCTGGTTTGGTCCGGTCTGGTTTGGTCCGGTCTGGTTTGGTCTGGTTGGTCTGGTCTGGTCTCGGTCTGGTCCGGTGTGGTTTGGTCTGATCTGGTCCGGTTTGGTCTGGTCTGGTCTAGTCTAGTCTAGTCTAGTCTAGTCTAATCCGGTCCGGTCCGGTCCGGTCCGGTCCGGTCCGGGTCCAATCAGCGCGGCCCATCAGCCCATCCATCTGGCGTTCGCCGCTGGGAGATGCGATCGACGGACGTGGTCGTGGTCCGGGCATCTCCATGTTGTGCGGTGTCTATGTCCGCTATGTCCTTGGTGCGCAGCCTGTGACGTGCGGTTGGTTTTCCATGTCGCCACCTGATCCTCGGATAGATCTCCTCCGAAGCCATCTGCGGCAGAGCGGGAGGAGCTCCATCCTCTCCCACGCCCAAGACGCGCCCTTTCATTTTTCTCTCTCACGTTTCCTCGTCGTTGCGCTTTCAGTCTCTTGGATTTCACACTTCGTGCCGGCATAAGATGAAGTACGACACCCTGAGATGACTCACGTTTGGAACTGGGTACACCAAAGGCAGTCGACGCGGTGGAAATGGAAATGGAACATCGGGCGGGAGTCGGGGCTGGCCGAGATGGCCATCTTGGCGCTGAATCCCACGGGAGCATCTGACACACGAGAACATTCACCTCGAGTGCGGGTCCAAACGTCCGTGCCGGCTGCCGGCAATCGGAGGCCGCTGCCAAAGCAGCGTCTCCGGTTCAAGGGGCATGATTTGTCGGTCCGTCTGCTGGTGGATTGGCAACTGGCCGGCGCCTTTTTTTGGCAGTGTACTCAAGTCCATGCAAGGTGTGGAGCGTACGGCTCAGAGTGAGACTTAACACGCGCGCGTAAGAGATCGTGTGACGAATATAGATCGATTTTCATATATACGAATGTGTAATTATAGGTAGAATCTGATAACAAAAAGTAACACTAATAAGTATATAATCAGATGTCTTACACCAAAATATATCCTTCCTGAAGAACTGGAAGGAATTATTTTTACCTCTCATGATATTTTATAGGTACCTGGCACCCCCCCCCCCCTTCGAAAGGACAGTTTCAGAACGGTCACCGCGCAAGCCGGGCTGACAGCTTCCGTTCGGTGGACGCGCTGCGCATATATGCCCGTGGCGAGCTCGTGCGGAACCGGCTCCGCCCCGTCCCACGCTCGAGTTCCTGCCATTGCCGTGTTTGCATAATCGGCACATATCCGGACTCCATCTAAAACAAGCCTGTCTAACGGGGAATAGGGGCGCTGGGGAGAGAGAGAGAGAGAGAGAGAGAGGAGAGAGAGAGAGGAGAGAGAGAAGAGAACACAAAGAGGAGAAGAGAGAGGAGAGAGAGAGAGGAAGAGAGAAGAGAGAGCGAGAGAGAGAGAGAGAGAAGAGAGAGAAAAGAAAGAAAGAAAGGGAGCGAAGATGCTGAGAGAGAAGAGAAAGAAAGAAAGAGCGAGAGCGAGAGCGAGAGCGAGAGCGAGAGAGCGAGAGCGAGAGCGAGAGCGAGAGCGACCAGGGTAGATACCAGTTACAGATGGAGAGACATGTAATATGGCTGGCATGATAACGTTGACATCTGAAGAAATATGGGGCAGGCGATATGCATATAGAGGCCAACAGATATATAGAGTAAGAATTACGAAAAGAAATGCAACAAACGCGTCCGGGTACGGGCCCCTAGCACGCGATCTTTCAATGGCGCGTGTCGCCAGAGCGTGACCGGAGGCCATCGGGGCGTCCGGACGGAGGAGCCACCGCGTCGTGAGCTGCCGCTCCATCACCGTGTGATCAGCGGCGGCACGCGACACGCGCACGATCGGTTCCTGACGAGCCGCTCGGGTCGCGTTCTATCCCTCGGCGGGTATCCAGGTCACGATCCGTCCCTCGGCGGGTGTCCAGGTCACGATCCGCCCCTCGGCGGCTGTCCAGGTCACGATCCGTCCCTCAGCCCGATAGTACGCTCTTTCTGCCAAGGTTCACATCGTAAAATACGCCAACATGCCGACGCGCCGTTGTCGACTTAGCATGCCGTCATCAAATGTAGGTACAATGGCGGGGTCTCATGCTCGCAAATCATGCACGCGAACATGACCCCGCAAACCCCATCCCAAAAACAAAGTCCTCGCCGGTGGCCAACCCACATCGCCAATCCCCTCCTCTCGTCCTCTCGTCCTCTCCGCCCCTCCCTCTTCGCCGTCTCCTCCGGGCGTCGGCGGGCGATCAAGCCGTGCTGATTGGCGTCGGCGGAGAGGCCGCCAGCGGCGCGACCACCGGCCCGCGGGCGGCGGTCGCTGGCGCCCTGGCGCGCCAGAACCCGCGGCGGCCCCAGCCGGACGGCGCGCGCCCACCCCTCAAATTACTTGGGCTCGTCTGGTGACGGCAGATAGCAGCGGGCGGGCGACGCGTCGCCCCGTGGCAGCGAAGCCAGAGCGCTGCGCGAGGGCGGCCGGTCGGACGGCGGCGAGACGCGGCGGGCTGGGGTGCGACTGCGGGCACGAAGGACGGACGCACCGGCGGAACAAAGCAGGAGAGCCAGGCACCGGCTGCTGACAGGGGCCGGGCACTGCGAAAGTGGGCCAAACTGCCACTGACGACAGCCGCCATGACGGTCGCTGAGCGCGGGCGTCGCGGCGAGATGGGCTGGCACGGCTGTCACTGAGCCAGCTGTGCGAGCTATGAAGAAGAGGCCCCTCAGAGGCGGCTCACCAGACCTCGGCTGTGAATCCGTCCAGCCGCCGAGGAATGCGTCTCCAAGCGACGGAGACCTAGCACAGCAAACTGAACTGCAGTTTCCGCTGAACATATCGCCTCTGGCCGCCGTTCCTGGCAGAGTTCTCTGACCCGCGTGGGTTCGCAGTGTCGTCCAATGGCCTCCAGCACACGCGGACCGTTCACGGACAGCCTGGTCCGTTTCGGTCGCAGGACACTCACCGCCCCGCCCCGGACGTCTCCCGAATGACAACGAGAGTCGGCCTATGTTCGAAGCGCTTGCAAAGAGGCCCGGCGAACAAAACAAGGGCTTCTCGAACACGTGCCGTGCTACGCGTGCCTCGCAGCTGAGGATCGTCGCGCCAACGAGGAGCGGCGGGTCGGACAGGCGCCAACGAAATCCTCCGCGATGGTCCAGGGCCGGGGCCACTGTGTGAAACGAGATTGAAATACGAGTATATCAACCATACCAACTGCATCAGCCATACC